CCAGGACACCACCCTTCAGGAGCGCAAGATGACATCTTGAGAGTCACGGCGCTGCACATGAGTTTGAAGACACGACAGGATGTGAGCAATGAAATATAAGATTGCAGAGATGTTACTTAACCAGTTGCAGCACCACCTGATGATGCATAGTTCAATCCTTTTTAGGAACCGTAGCGATTTTTCACTATATAAAAGAGGGGATTGTTGAATTCTCAATAGTGTTCTTTAAAACTGAAGATTCAAGTGTCTATCTTATTTAAGAAATCTCTGAACACTGCTAGGACTGCGTTCACATTAAACTGAATGAATCTACCTGAGAAATTTGTAGGATTTAAACTATAATTCTCATTAAACATGACTCCTAGAAAAAAACAAAACCTTAAAATATCCTGTTTTCTCCCCCAAGCCAATTATTTTCATATTACACATGTAATGATCTTGTGATTGAATGCCAAAGTTGGTATTCAAATTGTCACAATTGAATCCTTAGAGATTCCTGGATTAATTTTCAGGACGCAACATGCAAAAGACATTGAATTAAGAAAAGTCTTGGAGACTGCACATTGATAAAATCAGTATTCAGATACCATTATTTTGAAATCCATTAAAAAAACAAGTTAAGACCCTCTCGGCTTTGCTTTTAGATTCAGATCCTCCTCCTGTTTCCCATTATGTTGTACAGTAGGTACACAGCGCCCCTATAGACTGGTGTGAGGTGGCTGTCAGGATAATGCCTGTTTCCATTTCCTTCTGTTCACTGAATCTCAGGAGTCCACCAGCATGAGCTCATGGTCTCCCTTCTTACATCTCTTTCTCTTTCCCATTGTGTTTCCATGGTGCTCAATGTTCCACACAAGTTACTCCTTCCCTTGTGACAGCTTTCTAACAACCTGAGATAGTAAAATGTTGTCTATTCTCCATCTTCCTCTGAACAAGTAAGGCACCATCTGGTTAAACAATGAGGCTGTGGAAAGGAGTAAATAAATAGGTTTATATGAAACACTTATCCAAGTGTGAAAACATAGACTAGATTAAAAAGAAGGCATTCCAAAACATTGAGAGAAGTCAGACCTACTGTAAATAAGAAGGGGTGTCTAAGAGTGCAACTGTGATAGATTCGTTAAGTTACCCGTATAAACATTTGTCCTGGCAAGAAATGAGTGTCTGAGAATGAAGTGCTTGCTTCTTGTACCGTCTGCTAATCTATTCATTTCTTTTTACTGTGTGCTACAACATTGTCCTTTAATCGGTAATATCTGAGAAGGTTGACTGTGTCTTTTTATGGCCTTTTTAATTAAAATCTCAATCATCTGTGATCATTTTTTTGGCAGATATCATTAACCCGAGAAATATTTCTAAAATGAGATTTATAAAAAATAAACAATGAGCAAAAATGCAGAATATTGTATGGCAGTGTTTCTCTGCGTTCCACAGCACACTGGTGCTCGATGTAACGGCAAATTGAAAATCTAGTAAAAAAGCACAAGTTTAATTCTTCTCATTAAAAGTGTAGTTTGTTTTGCTTTGCTTTGAAATTAATGTTATTTCTTGCAATATTTAAAATTGTTTGTTCTGCAGCAGGACATTTAAAATGTGCCACAAGATGGAACGTTTGGGAAACACTGGTGTAGTGCAATATACAGTAAATAAAAATGTGGTGGAATAATAATTATAATAATATATTATTGCATTTGGATGAACCATTCAATTCTGCATATTCACGGATAGGACTTAATTAAAAATAAACTGAAAATGGTGGATAAGGTAACAAAATGGTAACGGGCATTGATTTTTAGATCATGCAAGAACATTTTACATTTTGAAATGTTGAATATTTAAAAAAATAAGGTTACTTTCCTTTCAGGAAAAAAATTAGTCTCTTTAGTCCCATTAGGAACGAAAAAACAAAAAACACAAGACCTGCATAGCTGGAGATTAAGTTCAGACCACAGTTTTAAAGAATCACTTAGCACATGATGTTTCCTAATGCACATTCTCCTGCAGCCTGGGCCAAAGTCCATAACAGATTCGCAGTGACTTAAACTGATCTTTCTCTCTCTGTGTGGTGCATTCACAGGACACATCTGTTCACCTTCTGAACTGTTTCTTCCAGCTCCTGACCAGCCCTAGGCTTGTTTGGAGACTGATCTCTGACTATATAGGTTTCCAGATTTGCTTAAAACACAGAAGTGGATCGTTTAAAAGAGAATAAAATTGTCCTTTATCCTTTAAATGCCCTTCTCCAGTTTTACCTGCCTCTTAAACATAGAGGGAACCTCTAATCTAAAGAGGCAGGCAGGCAAAAAGCTTAGTGTTTATGTTTCTAAAACCTAGAGCCACTCAGATACATTATTTATTTAAAATGCTGCTGCTCACTGGCATAGCCCCATGAGAGTCAGCATCTCATGTTTGTGAAGGACAGAGGGTTCACTCACATTAAAACATTACATCATTCAGACCCTCTATGCATCAGAATAGCTCATGCAGAAGTGAAACTTCCCCAGGACAGACGCATTGTGCAAAGGTTTTACTTTTCAGCAAGGTACTTTGTCCTGATTGCTCCAGCGCAGATTATACTGTACATGGGTGACATGGGTGATGGAAGGTTGGGGAGTTATGTACCCTTAATATGCCAGGGTACCCTTAATATGCCAAATCCTACAGAAATCTGAATACAATCGAACCTGATGAGGCATTTAGCTTGATTATGGGCTTTTGCTTTATATGTGTTCTGCAGAGCAGCGCAGTGGCACTGTGATTAGCATTGCTGCCTTGTAGTGCCGAGACCCTTGGCTCAGTTCCAGACCTGGGGTTCTATCTACTGTATATGGAGTTTTATGTTTTCCCCGTGTTTGTGAGGGTTTCTTCTGATTTCCTGCCACAGTCCACAGACATATTGGTAGGATAATTCTGGGAAAATCGGCTCTAGGTGTTAGTGTGTCTGTCTGTATCTCTGCCCTGCAATGGACTGGCGTCCAACCCCTAGTGTACCCTGCCTTGTGCCCATTGCTTGCTGGGCTAGGCTCTGGCTCCATCACGACCCAGGTTCGAAAATTGAAGAATGGATGTGATCTGCAATAGCTATAGTTTTTGTGTTACTTGTGTATCAAGCATGTTTGTAGTGTTGTTGACAAAGATATATAATGGCACTGTTGTGTTGTTGTTACAGGTACAGGTATATGATGTTACTCTGAAACTATGTATGTCTACATAAACATTCTACGAAAGGGAGGGCTCACTATAATCATATATCAAAGTAGAGGAGCAGAGTTTCAGAACTTCACAGAATGTTGTTTTTTTATAGATTGAAATCTGAGAACATCATCTCCTCTGTGTAGAAGTTTTTCACAGAACAAATTGTGAAAAAATTCAAATTGGTACATCTACTCTTTTTGGTAGTGCAACTCAGTGAATCAAAGTCATACATATTCTACTGAATACAATGAAGTGGTACAGTTGTAGAAAATAAATAGGTTCTCATTTCTTTTGGAATATAGCCAACAGATAAAAATAACGGTGTCATTCCTGCAAAGGGTGTCTCACAACAAAAAGCAGAAAGAAGAGAAAGCAGTTAGAAAGAAGGAAAGCATGTCTGAATGCATCACATAGTTCACAGGTGAAACAGACGTCCTGGAGAAGCATGGCCTTACATGAACTTGTCTTCGTTTTGCATAGTTGGCCAAGGAGGCAAAGCTCACACCTTATAAAAGGGCCAATGTGTTGTTTCTGGCAAACAAACACACTAAAGAGGGGGGAAAAAAAAACAGTTCACGAGTAGTGGAAGTCTTCTAATAAAAGACGGGAGAAATCACTGAGGAAACAGGGAAATGATGTCGAGCCAGAGCTCCTTAGAGAGATGAATGAGTCTGTTTACAGCTGGGAAAATCCCGCATAGCAGCTGTAAAGCACAGGGAGGGAAAGCCTTCATGTTTGCATTAGGCAGCTAAGTTCTTCACAGTTTACAGTACTCAATGCATTGAAAGCAGCTTCAAGAGGCCACTTGTATATTGCTTCCCTCTTGTCTTGAAGGGAGTTCTGTTGTGCTTTAGTCATGACTAACCCAGACTTGTTTACAGTTTGCTGGACATGCTAGCGTGCGTTTACGCAAGAAGGAAGGGATCTGTATACGTTTACAATGCTTTGTTTTTATTGACAGCATAGCTTTTACAAATAAATGCTGTCGAGCCCTTTGTACCAAAGTGTTGACCCATTAGCTGTTTAAAGAAGGTTTTCTGTAAGGTACGCTTTTGAAATTAGATATTCCAGATGTTGCATTAAGGCAAAATCCCCAGGCAAAAAGGGTTATTTCTTCGTACATTCTGATGCATTTAACAAGGTGGCAGTCATGTAAAGTTTAACAGGTAACTATCATCAAAGGTGGTAGAGCACAGGGAAGCACTAATGGCTTTGCAAGACAGGCATGGCACCATGATGTTGGATTCACTGAGAAAAAAGCTGAACAAAGATCCCTGAGTAAGAACTGGAAATCCATCTCTGTCACTGTTACGTAGGGATGCAGTAAAAAGACTAAGAGCCTATTAAAAGGCAGACTATTATTCCACTTTTGAATGGATGCATATCAAATGAGCTCATTCCTGTTTTCCCTAATGCTCTCTGTGGGTTGCGCGTGGCTAAGTGCAGAAAGGTGAGCTTTTGCCACAGGCTAGTGTCATCTTGAGGAGAACGACACAACTGCACAGGAAATGGAGATGTTTTTTTTTCATTACTGTAACTGTGCTAGCCCCCTTTATCCCTCTCATGTTACAGAGTTTGCTCCTTACAGTTAGCATCCTTTGCTTTTCAAGAGGGAGAAAAATTGACCCCCCTACCCCCCTTTTGTCATTGTGTGGTTTTATACTTAACCGAGAGACCCAGGAAAACTGGGAGGAACACTGCTGTGGCTTTACAGCTTATAGACCACGGCGAACTCACACTGGACTGATCAACAATGCACATGGGCTCTTGACACCGTGTCTTGATATTTTCTGTTGATCTTCCAGGTGATCCCCTTTCCCATGTCCTGTGATGTTCGAGAAGACTGCGCGTGTCTGGACCCCAATGCACAGGAGAACAGCAAAGGAGCCTGGCTGCATTCCCATGGCTGAGTGAGCGACACAGGGCGGACCTCAGTTGAAGGCAGATTGGGAGAGCCAAACATTCCTTTCTACATTGCTGCTTACAGGAGGACCTCTCCACTCATACCACACCCTCACCCCTCCGCTGGTCTGCCTTTCTCCTTCTCATCAGGAAAGAACAAAAGGACTTAAGTGGGTATGAACAAAAGAGAAAAAAAACAAACGAATGAAAAAGACTTTAATGAATGAAGCAAACAATACAAAGCCTGGATAGCATGTTGTCGCCTAGTTTTGAGCCCTCTTCTAGTAGCCATTGTCGGCTGTGCTATAATCTCTTATTTTAAGACGGATGAAAGAAAAGAAAGCATCACGAAAGATGACAACCTTTGTGCCCCATCCGAAAGCGGTTGTTTATCGGTATTCTGGTTTTCGATAGGACAAAGGCGGGATAAATCAGCAAACGACCCAATAAGGAAAAGAGAGCCGCAGGCCAAACCGAAAGGGGGTTTCAGAATCTGCTGCTGAACTCCTCGCTTTTACAAAGTTTAGAATCCACTGTGACTCCGCAGGGGTCACCTTAGCTTCCTGTGCCCTCTGTCTGTGTAGGGTGGGAATAGGTTTTGTTAACGAGGAGAGACAGGGCTGACAGGGAATGGTCAGATTTCGTTGAAAGCGGATGAAGCCTTTGTTGATGGCTGGGCGTGACCAAAACCCACACGCGAGTGGACGAAAAAAAAAATCCGTTAACCGAACCGGCACTAGATGTAATTCAGCACAAGAAGATTAATAGCAGGGGAGCTGCTTTGGGTGATTTTGTTCAGCCTCTTACCTCTTAAGGACTTTGCCTTGACCCTTGGCCTTGCATGGGGCCCACCAACAGGGATGGAAGTCAGGGGTGTGAGCCCGTGGGGTCAGAGGGCACCTTTGCTGGCACTGGAAAGCTGACTCACGGTCTGGTCTGGCTGAGCTGAAAAAAACAGAAACCACACACACACAAAAAAAGGAAAGGTATCATGATAGTCAAGAATGAGAATAAGAAATGGATAAAAGGCTAAAAAAGTGAATTATAGGGGTTGTAAAAGAGAAATAGCTGTGTAAGCATGGCTGCTGCTACTGCTGCTACCTTTGCTGCTATCTGCCATATGACCAACTCTTCTGACTTTACAGGTCGTTTTAGGACAGGGTGACGACAACGCCAGACTGCAGAACGATCTGCCTTAAAGCTTACCTCTAACCTCTCATATGCACACACAGTGTGTATGTAAATAATACAAAAGTATTGGCACCCTTCACTTGAGACAGTTATTCCTTTATATGAAAATACTAACATTTATTGAAGACATCTTCTCAAAGTTTATTGAACACTGATTCACCTGCTTCAACAGCTGTATAGCGTCAAAGAGAATTAACCAAGTTCAAACAAGGGGTGTGTGGCATTGTGACGTTGTGGCTTGCTCTATTTGAAGCTTTTTATTCATCTGGAGCCTTTTCTTCTGCTGAATAGAATGAAGTGTTCACTAAACTTTGAAAATCGATAATTGATGGATGAGTGTAGTTCAATAATATACTGTATATACTTAAAAAGAGTTCCCTCTTGAGTTCCTCTCAAGTATTGAGTTAGCCATAAAACAATGGCCCCAAAACCATGTTCCCAGTGAACACACTGAAAGAGTACGGCAATACAGTCACTACAACTCTGATGACAAATGCAAAATTTTTGAAAAATAGAGCAGTTTTTAAACCTGAAACATATTAACAAGATGGCTTTGAGGGTATCATTTTGAAAACAGAACAGAAGATTGTTCTGTCACAACTTCAAATTCAATAACTCAACTTTTTGACTGTAGAAAGGTGCCTCAGAGGGAATTTCAGTGATCGTAGGGGACTCATAAAAGATAACAGATGCAGTGTTCTGGAAGTAGTGTGTGTGGGGGGGAGCTATATCATCCCTTTTAGAATGGGCTACTGGATCTTCATATTCCACGGTTACTTTGGTTAATGGCAGCCAAAGTCATATATGAATCCAAACTCATATTTTACAGTGCTGGACTCTCACTGATAACTGCATTGTGGACCTTCACCTCAGCATTTGAGTTTTCTCATCTCATTTATCAGTGTTATTCTGTTTGTATCTCTATTTTGTATAATTGCTGTTATTATTGTTTCTATTTTTTTAGTTTAATCACATTGCATATCCAAAAACCATTGTTTCTTTGGTGCTAAAATTGGTTTCATCTTTTTTTTTTTGTCTGCGTATTCGTTGTGACCTCAAGAATGTAATTGCAACGCACACCAGTAACCTCTTCAATGTAGATAGTGTAATATAAACTTTACGCGCTGATTCTGGCTTCGTTTTTGTTTCGGCACACCCCCACTTGTTAATGAGTGGTTCATTGGGGAAAGGCAGCAGATTCTCTCAACAGTGTCTGTGTATGTCAGCAAAGGTTTCCTTTACAGCCTGGGGCAATTCATACTGCCTATGATCTCTCCTCTCATTCATGCTAGTATGAAGTGACCGTGAATTTCAGACAAGTTGTATTCCAGTCACTCTTGTACTTGGCTCAATAATGCACTGCATCTTGTTGTCATGTAATGAATCTATTAATATAGCTCCTGCTTCAACAATGCCTTGACGTTTTAGAACCACATCCCTCAAAGTTGTGGGGAATCAATTCACAATATCTGAAAGCCATCCTTCTAACCCTCTGCAGTGTTGAAAGGGTCCTTATGTGCATTATGGTACCATACATGCTGTTTAGAGAATGTGTCAGGCAGCAAATTCTTACATGGCATCTATTGCTCAGTTAACAATACTTCTCTTCATCTTTCTCGACTTTGACTTCCCTTCCATTTCTGCATTGAAAATCAAAAGTGTGCAAATGAGGCGATGACAACATCCAGCAGTAAGGAGACTATATCATTGCAGCGGACAGAACCTGCACCTTTGATAGAAGAAGGAAGATACAGTTGTGTGGAAAAAGCAGAGCCACCAACCTGTAGCACAGTAGCACATAGCAACACAGCTTCCCAATGGCAGTTCTGAGTTTTTCCTTTGACTTATCCTACATTTCCCGTATTTCTGGCTGAATTTTCATGTTATTATGTTATGCATCAGCCCCATTATCTTTATTATGCCAGGCTTAACATGCGTTCACTTTGGTTAAGCAGAAACACTCCTATTCCTCGTTTCAGCCTCCAAATTATGCACTGTAGCAAGTCTGAAATGTCATCAAAAAGCATCTATGCATTGTTCACAGGCTACTGTAGTGTCAGCGAATGTGATCTTTCCCTTTGCCTGTACTCCATCCTTTGGCGTTGAGCAATTGCTCTGCGGACGTCTGGCAAGTGTGAATGCTTTTTAGGGTACTTCATTGCTGGTAGATGCAAGGTATGCAGTTTGGTTGTTTTTTTTTTAGGAATCGCAGGATGATTAAGAGGTTTCTGAAAAGAAACAGCCATCTCTTATATTATTCACATAGAGCCTCAAGACTCTCTCCCACCACATTCATTCTTGTAAAGAACCTGTTGGACTGCTCAACACAGAACCATTGATCAGCTTTTTACATTGCGGAGCTTTGCTGCCTAGCATACTTTAGAAGTTAGTTGAGTATTATTTTTTTTTATGCGCTCAAAGGTCTCCCACCCTGTTTGCAGAGCTATACTTGTAGTTAATTGCAGCACCACAGCTGTATGCACTTTGAGACCACCAGAAACTAATTCTTTCAACAGTGTCACTTCTTGGGCTGTTACACACCTTCCACAAGCTTCAAACAGGACAATTTCAAGTATTGCTGGCCTCCTCCGACCTCTCTTCCTCTCTTCTCTATAATCTGGTTATAACTGTCGGTTCTTGTAGGTTTTTACCTGTGTTATTAAGAAAACTTCTTGCTGCAACATATTATCATTGAAAACAAGGCTGTGCAGGAGATGCATAGACCAGTGAGAGAATCTTTAAGAAATGCTTCATAAATAATATAAAGAAAGCAAAAAATAATACAAAATATAGAGAGTAGGCAGAAAACTTGTGGTTTTCTATAGGTGTAAAAGACATTTTGTAATGTCAGTTTTGTGCATAGTATTAGGTCCAGACAGAAGAAATGAGGTGAAATGTGTTTTCAGAAGTGTTTTTTTGTTATAAACTGTACTTATATTTAATCAGTATTTGTAATGACCTCAGTTACTGCACTTGTTTTCTTTGTACAGTCATAAAAAATGAAAAAAAAAATTCTTTACAAAAAGCTGCTATAGTCAGACAGGTAATTTTAAAACGAAAAAACAGTTTTTTATATTTTTTTTTCACTTATTTTTTTTCTTTTGATGTTGCTTTTATTTCCCTAAGCTTTGCACTCGTAAAATATAGTTTAGAGAGAAAAAACCAATCAAACTTGGAGAAAAGAGTAGTGCCTCCCCCCCACCTCAATAAAAGAAAGAAGAAACAATCAGATGGGAATAGCTGCTTTTTTCAAATGAAAGCCAGCAAAACGAGGACATGTGGACTGAAAATGGATGGCTAGATGAAAAGACAACATACAACAAATGCATTATCTCTTTGGGTAAAAATTCAAATCTGAAACGGAGTACTTCCCAAACAAAAAATCTCTTTCATGCATGATTCTCACACTGTGTAAAACTGGTAGGTCAAGAGCTTTGGCAAATAATTGCAAATAACTTATTTTTTTGTTATTTAGCTCTGAAAATAATGTATTATGTGATAGTTAATCCATATGTGCTTTTTTGTTAATATTGTCAAATTATATGTAATTGTATGCAAAACTATTGCTGCTTTCTACTCGAGTATTAATGGGGAGGGAGTACATAAACTATAACCATTATACAGTACCAGCTGCATTACATTGGAACAGAAGCATTCAAAAGGCATTCTCATTTTTAATAATGAAAGGACTCTGGGACAACAGCCACACAACCAACCTGCTCTTTCTTTAAGTGATGGAAATCAAATTCTTTTTTTAGTGTTTTAAGAGACAGCAAATACAGGATTCCTTCATGAATGCGCATGAAGAAGTGTTAATTCTGGACCAGTCTGCTAACAAGCTCTTTGTTTTCCTCTTGGTGTCCAGTCTTTTCAAGGATCCCTGTTCTTTAACTTGTCTGCAAATCTACAAACCAAAACTGTGATCTGTCAGAGTGGAAATGTACTCACTATGTGACTGCTCTTGTGAAACACAACACATTGTACTTTGTTGATCAGAATGCTTTTTTTAATGATTAGCATTATTGTTGATGTTGTTGTTATTATTTTTATCCTACTTGGGGCACCTTACAGAAGCCATGAAAAACAAATTAAAATCAAATGAAGTTCTGATTAAATGTTTTAAAAAATGTAACAGTCTACTGTATCACCACAGTATCCTTTTTGCTGTACCTCATGCCTGTAATTTGTGCTGCTTCTGTTTTAGCTATTTTAGTAATTTAAGTCTCCTAGCAATATATAATGGTGTAAATAGTAGAATTATTTATTGAGAATGTCATCCTTTTTGTTGTTTTTTTTATTTATATTTACACAATGTTCATCTAAGTTATTTTTACAATGCCTTTGTTAACAGACTTACTTGGTGTGAGAGCATTTCAGAACCATCCTTTCTGTTTCTCTTTGGACATATCTCCCTCGCTTTTTCTTCTCATAAACTCCAGGTCTAACCTTACTGCAAAAAATGGGATTTTTAACATTAGAACATAATGTTTTGCCACTGTTGTGTACTGCTCTTTCCTAAAATGAAGTTTAAAAGCACTCAGCCCCCTCATCTTATGGAGGCCTAATGGAATGTAGCAGTATCTGTTTATGTTTTAGATTAGTAAAGAAATATATATCTTTT